ACGCCCTTCCTCAAAATAAAGTGATTTCAAAACACACAAGCCCCAAAGATATATCCGTCAAAACAACCTCAGAAATGTAAGACCACCTATCGAAACACACTAACAACTGACCAACAATCCATGTGACCGCGGAGGAGGAATCATTCAAACATTCCAGAACGATACGACCATCATTTAACGTGACAAAACAACTTGATTTTTTATTATTATTATGTACATCCTTTGGGGCAAATGTTCAAAAAGTTATAGCCCCTTTTTAAACACTGGGAGTTTCCGGCCCTCCTCCAAGCTTCGGTCCAGCTCTCCCATCTAGACGTCAAGAGCTGGAATTCCCCAGTGAATAGCAGCACACCTTCCCCCAAAAAAATCACAGTTTCAAGCAAACAAAGCAGTGTCTTTCACGGCCTGAACTCGGTGTTGTGTTCTGTTTCTACTGGGGGAGGGGAGACGCCACACTTTCTATTTTGAGGCATGAGATATCTCAACTGGGGAGGGGGGAAAATCAGTCTGCCGCTATCGATCCACGTGCGGACGACCCGTTCCCGATGATCATCTTGCTGTAGTTTTTCTGTTCTTCTTGCTTATAAGTGTCCTTCACTTTGTCTCTCTTCAAGCCTCCGTCCCTTCAAGAACGGGAAAACATGGAAACGTAAGAAATAGCATACGGATGGGGCTCCTAGTTACTGAACGATCACAACACGCATCAGCTGCCCGACTCCAAGCCCTCGTTTCGACTGCCCTGAAGGCAGATTCAGCAGATGGGTTTAGTACCCCATCAGATCACCTGGCTCAGAAGAAACGGTATTGCCTGGAACCCAGCACAACATAGATGCCGTTCGGAGAGCTTTGGTGGTGGGGAAAGTGCTGTTAAGTCACAGCCAGCTTAAGGCAAACCCATAATGCTAGAGAGGAACAGAGGTGGTTCGCCATTGCCTGCCTCTGCGTAGCAACCCTGGACTTCCTTGTTGGTCTCCCAGGCAAGTACGCAACCAGGGTCTGCTTAGGTACCAAGATCTGACAAGGGTTTTTTTTTTTGTGGGGGATGTTTTTGTATCTGGCTTGGGGTACGACTATACCCCAGGTTACAGTTTGTCAAAGGATTTTTTTTCCTCAGCACCTTAGCAGTGCCAGTCAAAGATGGAGATCTCTAGATCCCCACCAGCAGTTACTGCAATTTCTCAATATGGACGGCATCTCGGTTCTCTCACCAGGATAATTCGGTGAGTCCTCCTTGGCGAGCGATGGCAGACTTCACCCTGTTGGCAAAGTGGACAGCATCTTCTCCTTCCTGGAAAACAATCACAATTCAATTGCCACCGCCCTCAGGGCTACAAGAGGGGAAGTCACCGTTGGTTTTTGTTGGGGGGGGGTTAAGCAAAAGGGGGTTAGGGAGCGGGAAAGTGTTTGGGGCTAGTGGCTACCCTCCACTGACTAGCGGCCCCAATAGGAGAGACAAAGGGGGAGGGTCTAACTTGCCCTAGCAAAAGCCCAACTTGCTCATCTTCGTGCTCTAGCGGAGGGACCAGCCCTGCCTACCTCTCTTGTCATGGGTGGCAGATACCACACGTTGCAGACGATGGCCCAGCTGGTCATTATTCGCAGGAGGTAGCTCACTATTCCGTACTTGCTGCTGTTCCAGAAGGCGTCACCAAACTGGGGGTCATACTGCAAACAAGAGGACAGAGTCAAGTCATGCCTACAAGCAAAGCGGCCATTTCAAACATGCCTAGTAGGATGCCACAACAAGGCCGTGATTCCAAAACTATGTGCCAGGAGCAGTAAATTAAAGGCTTCTGGAGCAGCCCCGCAGAGAAGAGGCTGCCTCCTGCAGCTCTGCATGAGTCACTGTTCTGTCCTCCGCCCCCCTCCCCCACCCCAGGAAAGGTTAATCTGTGCCTCTGCCCCAGATGTGACTGGATCAGTCCTGATGCAGACAACACAGCACAACTGTCCCCAGAGGAGGCTTCCCATTGCATCTCTGCACGAGTCACTGTTTTCATTAAGCATGCTCAGAACAGCAAGATGGGCTCCTCTGAGGATAGGTGTTATTTCCCATCTTAACTCATGTTGAAACTATTTTGGAGGTGGAAAAGGGAAACAGTGGGGAGGGTGGGTTGTCCAGGCTATCAGAATACAGAAGCAGAGCAGGGGTAGGCAGCCCCCCCCCCAGGCACGTGCTGAAAAGAGGTAGCCAGGCCTCTGCCCAAGCAACCGAAGCAGGCCTCTGAGGCATGACCAGGCCAATCAAACGGGCAACGTGGAGGAAGATGACAGGTGTGGGGCAGGACCTTCTAGAGAAGAGGCATTCCATGAGACAGGACAACCTAAGAGTGGGGAGTCTGCACCATTTTGTGGCTTTTGTAAATCCTTTCGTGAACAATCAGCATGGTTTTTTTAAAAAAAATTCCCATCAACTGGGCCCCTTTTAACCATCGATTCATCTCTCCCACCAACCAGCCAAGTATTACAGGCCAGCTCAGCTTAATCTTATTCTCTCTGCAGAGCCAACTTTCCATCACATGGCAATGAGTTCCACAGGCTAACTTATGCATTGTGTGAGACAGAACTCTTCCGCACATTATCTCTGTTGGCCATGGGGTTGACCCGCAGCCTGCTTCGGTGTGAAACTGAAAGATCACACTGTCTCTTTTTGAAACAGCTACTTGCAACAAATACTTCTGTACACAGCGAGTGATTAAAATGTGGGATTCGCTGACAGAGGATGTAGTGACGCCCACAGGCATAAACAGCTTTAAAGGGGGAGGAGACGTCTATCAGTGGCTACCAGCCATGGTGGCTGAGGGAAACCTCCATGTTCAGAAGTACTAAACCTCTGAATCCCCCAACAAGGAGGCAACACCTCAGTCACTATCTGTACCCTGTCGTTGGCCCTCCAGAGGAACTGGTTGGCCACTGTGTGAGACAGTATGTTGGACTAGATGGGCCGCTCGTCTGATCCAGGAGGCCTCTTCCTACATTCTTAGGACAAGGACGTATTGTAAGCAAGCAACTGGTCTCCATGCTTAGAGGAGCCTACAGTCCTCAGCCTCTAGGGATCACCAAGATTATTTGTTCGAGGCAGTGGGAGCCCATGGCAGAGCAATGGAGTTACATGCATGGACACTGCAAACCACTTTTCAGTTTCAGGGAAGTACATCAGGCCATTGCAGAGGGTCTCTCTCTCTCAGCCCCTATCTATACCTTGTGGCTAATAGCCACTGATGGACCTCTGCTCCATATGCTTATCTAATTCCCTTTTGAAGCCGTCCATGCTTGTAGCCTGTATGGACATTCTTAGGACAAGGACGTATTGTAAGCAAGCAATTGGTCTCCATGCTTAGAGGAGCCTACAGTCCTCAGCCTCTAGGGATCAACAAGATTATTTGTTCGAGGCAGTGGCCTTTACTGATATGAAATCTGTGAGGGGGCCCATGGCAGAGCAATGGGGTTACATGCACGGACACTGCAAACCACTTTTCAGTTTCAGGGAAGTACATCAGGACATTGCAGAGGATCTCTCTCTCTCTCTCTCTCTCTCTCTGTCTCCCTCTCTCTCCCCCTCCCTCTTCCACTCTGACCTACTGAGTCACATCTGTGGGGGAGGCAGGTCAGTCAGCCCATGTGGACCTCACTGGACATGTGGACACACAGGGCCAGCCCAAGGGCTTTTGGCACCCTAGCCCAAATGCCAGCACCAACCTGCCCCCCCCCCCAGGCACACGTGGGCCCACCGCAGCCTGAGCGCATTCCGAGCCCCAAAGCTGCCCCAAATTTGGAGGGAGCTCGCCCAGCGAGGCTGATGGCCACCTGCCCTTCATCTCCCCCTCCATCACAGGGGCGGGGAGGCAGACCAGGTGAGCCACCCCACCTGCCACGAAGCAGGCAGGAGAAAGGTGCAGCAAGCATGGCAATTCAGATGGTAACTGCCTGCCCTGGCAAACATCTTTTGGCACCCCTGGCGCCCTGGGCATAAGGGACAGACAGCCCGTTGACACATGTGGCCGGCAATCCCAGAACCGAGGGAATCGTTTCACGTTGCATCTTACCTTGATGGCCACCGGGTAGATGGTTCCACCAATTTCAAAACTTCCCTTTTTAAACATCATTACGGAGGTGTTGTTTATGCACGTGCCTAGTAAAAAAGATCGAGTTGTGACTCCAAAAGAAACAATCCTGATACAAGCCTAATATGCCCGAAAGACCCTCACCCAGCTGCCATTGGTTTGAGAATTAAGCAAGCACTGCTCCAAGTCAGCCATAAATTGAGGGTCCTCCCCCTTCTTTGGCCTCCAGTGAGCTCCCCCTCCCTTGGCAGTCTTTAGGCAGCGGCTGGACAAACCCTTGTCAGGGGTGCTCTAGGCTGATCCTGCATTGTGCAGGGGGTTGGACTAGATGGCCTGAACTGCCCCTTCCAACTCTGTGGTTCCATGATTCTATGCCCTCCAAAGGCCTGAGCTAAATATCCAACAGAATGAGGCCATAACAAAATGGCAGTGCTGAGACGGTAGGATGGACTGCACCACTTTCGACTGGGGGGGGGGGGAGATTACACTTTTTTTCCAAAGTTCTTCAAAGTTCTCCTCTATAAATTATTCCTTGTAGGAGGAAAACCCAAAGACCATGGCCAAGAGCCTCTCATCCTCAAGTGCTGATTTATTTGCAGAAAGATCTGACATGCTAGGGAGTTAGACATAAAACTGCCCCACTGCAGTCTGAAGTGGTACAGCCCATTCTATTACCTTGTTTTGTAATTGTCCCCACAGCAACCATTTTGTGGTGGCACCTACTATTCTTTCTCAAATTTCCAAGAATACCCACAGGCTTGGGGGGATTGATTGTACCACTTCAGAACGCAAGCGAAGACTCACATGACTGAATGCTTCCCCATAAATATACATACACGTTTCTTTCTTTCAAATAGGAAGCTTCAGGGAGAAGGAAGTGGTACCATTTCCCTTAAATCTTACTAGTGAGTAAGAACTAAGCAGTCAGCAGTACTTCTTTGATCTACAATAACACTGTACTGGTTTGCTATGCAAACATAATTTTTTTTTCTATATTGTGAGCCATCCTGAACTAGGATAAAAATATTTCTAAGGAAATCTAATAAATGTGTAAAACACACATTCACAAATATGTAATCTAGCCCCACTGAAGATGTTCATGGGGAAAAATCTGAGAATGTGTATCCCACAAGGCTTTCCCCCTTCAATACATTTAAAGAACAATTTTTATATAATGAATTATTGGTCAAATCTAATTCTTTAAGATTCCTGAACACATCATATTACGTTCTGCCAAAAGTCTTCTCTTAGCATGTGTAGGATTCTTGTGCCAGAAGCTTGCTAAACATTCTAGTAGAGGTTTCCAGTAAGGGTACATCCACATTCAGAGGCAGTAAACCTTGGAATAATAGTACCTCTGTGGAAACAGTGGAATAACAGGAGGCAACATCAGGGAAAGGCCTCGGCCTCTGGGCCCTCTGTGCTGACCCTCCAGAGGAACTGGTTCACCCCTGTGTGAGACAGGATGCTGGACTAGATGGACCGCTCGTCTGATCCAGCAGGTCTTTTCTTAAATTGTGATTCTGATGGTGTCAAGATGATGACAACCCAACTCTCTCACAAAAAATTACTGGAAAAAATTATAAAATGCAAGTGGCGATCAGAAGCTCCTTCTCTTACCTTCTGGGAAAATGAGAATTGGCAGCTTGTTCTTATCTGCTACATGTTCCCTCAGTCTAAAATGAAAAAAGAGCTATTTCAAGCCATTGCTTCTCAAAACCCAAAGCATTCTCAGATTATACCATTCAAACCAACAGCAGGGTTCTCAATGCATAAGACACACCGCTCGCAATTCTTAGGGTGGCCCAGAAAGTTCCGTGCCCTTCTGTGGGTTCTCATGGTCACTATACTGAAAGCTGTAGTACCAAAAGATTTCGATCGGGGGGGAAAGGTCAAAGATTTCATACAAGATTTTTTCAGGAATGTTCAAGCCTTTTAAGAACATTTTCCATGCTTCCTTTTCTAAAACTTATCATAACTACATAGCAAGACTATCAATGCGCAAGTCAGTCAGTAGATACCCCCTTACCTAAACAGTACCTCTGACTAAAAGACAGAATGCCAAACCTTTTCTGAATACAGGAATATCCCCTCCCTCTGTCCATGATTTCTTTCCTCTCCCTGTCCCATCACTTAT